CACTATAATATCAGACTGCCCACAACTGTCCTTCGACAAATACTTACATTTATTATTAGAAATGTTAGGTTAGGTTTCATCGTTCGATAAGTATCACTGAATATCACACGAAAAAATTATTATCCCTAAACCCAAGAACACTTGTCTTTGCAACAGCAAATAATTGCCAGGATTTTACGAATTCTTTCCGTATTTATATAAATAACAGCTATGTCTTCCTCCCCAAGTTAGTTGTACCCTAAGTTTGTTAAATTCTGAAATACACAGTTGAAAACTGAGAAAAATAAGTAAGTAAATAAATAAATATTTACGCTATATTTCCATTTGCACGGATAGGAATATGTTTGAAAGAAAACTTACATCAACAATACTTTAAGGATTATTCTTAATATAAAAGTATTATAATTAATTATTCTTAAGAATGTAAGTGTTGTACGTCCTTATGAAAATAAAAAAACACATTTTTATAATAATATTAATAGGAACCGCAGGTTACCTGTCTATTTATTTAAGAACTACATTAAACTGCGAATCGGAGGAATGATTAAATTTATATTGTAGTCTTTAACCGAACTAATTAGTTTTTCGTAATGCAAAGGTCGGAAATCCGTTAACAGGATTACGGTGGAAAATTTGGGGTGTAACAAATACATAGGAGTCTTATGAATCAACTAACGCTTAGTAGCGTTGCCATAACTGATACAATAACAGCACTCAAAAGCGTGACGGGCATAGTTTATTATATTAATGCAGATTAATTGCATAAAAACTATCAAAGAAACACGTGCATTTGTTTTTTTATCTCTAAAACTATTGGGAGATCTCGTTTGTATCTTTTCAGTCAAATCTTTATTTTTTCATAGTCACTTTTATCAAAAATCGAACGTGATAAAATATAATTTTAATTATGTTACACATTTTTCTATATGGTATTTACTTTTACATTCAATTATTTAAAGTATACTTTGGAAATGGGGATGGACATTTATTCTGAAACACATAAGTTACTTTATCTCAAGACCCTTACGTATCTAATTATAAGTCATAAGAAGTATAAGACAATACGAAAAGGTATGTGTTGTAAAATTATTTTAATTTCACACAGATAATTAACTTTTACAACAACAAAGTGAGTACTGCTTTGTTAAAGAACTACATATCTGTTCACATGATGTTATCCAGAAGAATAGACTGTCGAATTTTTAGAAACTCTGTTCACATGATGTTATCCAGAAGAACAGACTGTCGCATTTTTAGAAAGCGCTGGTTTGAGAATTCTCAGCTGTATAAATTTTTTTCGGTGTTAAAAACGTGTATGCGATGAAAAAATTACTTATGGCGAACACAGATACCCCATAACGCTGAAGTAAAGAGAGCGGTAAAATGCGTTAACTGACGTGGAAGCGCCATGACTAATCAGTACATTCTCAACTCCCTTTTACAATGTCCTATGAATTAATTTATTTTAAGTTAAGGGAACTGTTAAAAAGAAACATAAATTGAGTTAAAATCAACGAATTTAAATAAAGCTAATAGTAAGACGCGACAAATTTAACAACGCAATGCAGAACATCTATTGCCTGGTCTTGTAATTGGTCGAGGGAATTGAAATAATTTCAGAACAAATTGAAAGTGTTCGATTAAATTATTCACTCCACAATTTTCCAAAAGATTCATCAAAGTTGTCTGCTGAAAGGTTGTAACATCATAATTAAATTAACGCTTGCCTTATTTTTTTTTATTTTATTTTCTATAACGTTCAATGGGAACTCTATAGAAACATGATACGCAAGAAAAACGCCATTCTTGTACGTGAAGACTGAAATGTAACGTAAGAAACTTGAGAGTTGGCGATGAGTCTTGAAGGCGACATCAGAAATACTGCCATCTCTATGTCAACTCTAGAAACGTGAGAACGAAACAAGCAAACTTTCCGGCGTCAAAAGAACATCGACAGGTTCCATGCGAACTTAGTGTGTACGGCACAAGGAACAAGAAAAATAGTCAAACTTTATCAAGAAGTTCTATGAAGATCGTATGAAGCCTATTTCACTTCACTTCTTCTCGTATATGAAACTTGAGGAAAAACTACATAAGACTGAATGGAAAGTGTACTCTTTGGAGTACATTAAAATTTCATAGGTTTTCTTCACGTCACATCACGGGCTATGACGTCAGCATGTAACTAATTGAATAAGAAATGCCAATGACGTTAAACTGAGTCCATAGACCGAGTGACCACCGGTGTAAGTGGTCACCCTCTACCAACAGCCTCTTCGGAGGGTGGATGAGTGGGTGGAGGTTCAGGGCACCCTCATGTCCTTGAGGTAAGAAATCACCCCTAAAGGCGGATGAACCCGGATGGGTCAACGACATATCATGCGGAAGGCAAGGGGAATCCACCGCATTAAAGATTATCAGGATTTCACAAGTATCAGCAGCTCAGAATAGCTGCTATAAACCAATCTGAGGATTGAATATAAAAGAAGAAGGAGAAGAAGAATGGTAGAGGTCGCGCGAGAAGTGCTGTCACTTGCGCAAAGAACTGATTTTGGTCTTATGAGATGGACTCGTCCGAAGCACGCACCAGAGGGGTGTCAGCTTCAGTTGGTTTGTAGCTCTAGCTGTGTTTAGTTCGGTGCGTCACCGCAGTTGAGGCCTTGCGACCCCCCTCCCCTACTACTGAACTCCCCTCTCTCGGCTTACACATCGCGCATTTATGTGCCACCACTACTCGCGCGGCCTTAATTGGCTGACACTGTTGTAATAATGTGCTCCAAAAATGTTATAAACGACAGACAGGCAGACAGACGGATAGACAAACAGCCAAATGCCCATAAATTGTTCTTAGCTGACGCTGAAGTATGGAGAAAACTTGCGAGATTTCAGGTTATCACGGCGGCAAGTATAACTTTAGGTGTTTTCTGGTTTGTTGCGCCGTGTAATCTAGTAAAGTTTTACCGACGTTTCAGAGTCAGTAAGCACCTCCGAAACGTCGGTAAACTTCTACCAGACGACACGACATAAAAAACCAGAAGACAGCCATCTTCGTGAAGAACACGATTCGTGATGCATTTCTGTGGATGGCTTTCACTAGCCCAGATTCTGGCTTAGTTAAATTTGCCTGTTGTTAACCTCACCGATGCGCAGCGATGAAATGTTGCAATTGGCGAGAAGTGGTACAGACACTGTAAAATTAAAGTCGTCTTTATGTGAAAACATAAAAATACCACCCATAAACGTTCCACGTTTCTCAGTAGTAAAAGAAAAGCAAAGTTCACCCTTGTGCCTCAACACCATACCGTGGATGCAGACATTTCCTTGTAACGTAGCTGATTCGATACATCCACTAGGTATAAACTGCGCGTTGGGACGTGGTGGTGAGAAAATTTCTGCCCGAATCGAACTCTCAGTTCAACTTGCCTCGGTGTTTAAGTATTTTTAAGATATTTATACGTAATTATATTTATAAAACGAAACAAACCTGACAATCGCCATAAACATTCTTGGCTTTCGATGATTAAACTGGAATAATAAGTTTTTTTCCCCATGGAAGGCAAATCAATTATTACTATTTATTACATCCGTGTTACTAGTCCTTATTTTAAACTGTTTACTTCGGAAGTCCTGTACTGAGCTTCACAGTTCCCTTGGTATCACAATAATTCAGCTGTGATCTAGTGTACTGAGGTAGTTACGACTCCCATGTGTGGAAAGCATAGTTTACCTCACATAGACCATTATTCTGCCTACGTCACCAAACAATGGACCTTATCTGTTTCAAAGTTTGCAAGAGAAACTTTGTGCAAACTTGGCTTTATCAGCGTCACTAGTAGGTTCAACTGAAAGGCACCATATGGATAAGCTCTCATTGAAACTCTCTGTTTCGCGACTGAAAACTTTAAACCATTATCATTCGGCCTTTGATTCATGCACCGCTAAAATAGCTGTGGTTTACCGACGACAGGGACCCTATCTGTCTCCCATTACACAAGCACATATAATGGTCTCTGAACCTATAGTAAATGCCACTAAAATTCTTCAAGGTCACATCAAAGTCGTAGAGCGATGAACAGTGGAGACACAGCGTAGCAAACCTAACAACTCTGTACTGGTGACTTAAGCCACGTGGGAATGGGACAATCCCATGGCCTTGAATCGTGCAGTTTTCTGACGGCTACAATATAATTATAACCAATTAGAAAATTAACGTCTTTATGTGTCACTGAACAATTGCTAATAAAAGTGGTAGAAGAAGGGGGTTTGAAATAATTTAATTTGTCACACACATCCATCTTAAAAGTACGTGGAGTTTAAAGATGGCTGTCTTCTGGGTTGTTACGCCGTGTAGTCTGGTACAAGTTTACCGACGTTTCAGAGGTCCTTGCTGTCTCCATCATCAGGGCTATGATGATGGAGGCACCTACTAGACAACACGGCGTAAAAAACAACTCAGAACACCACAACCCACATTTTTACAGCCGTGAGAACTAGAAATCTTATGTAAGTGGTAAGTATTTAAAAATGTTGTAGGAGTCGGTCTTTGCCCCAAGATTCCAACTAAGGTAATCTACTGAAGAGATTCGGAAATTTAAAATGCCAAAAAGATGTGATACTGATGTATCTATACACAGAGATAGAGACAGTTACATTTTGGCGTACGAATACTAATAATGCACATTTGTCAAAACAAATAAACGTAAGAATTTAGTTTCCTGTAAATCAGTAATTTTGTTGTTACGCTATTTTGTCATCATGTCCTCGACAGAAGAGGTCGGTCTGCGGGTCGTGAACTCGCTACCTTTCGAATTCAAAGCAATAAAAATCACTACTACAAAGAGACATACACTAGTAGCTAGAGCAGTACACCAATTTTAAATCAATTTATCAATCAATCGTAAACATCTCATCTCACTCATCTAGAATTGACGTTGGCAGCAGATAACGCATGGGGCAATCAATATAAAACCCTGGTTAAGTTACGTGAAGGCGAAACTCACCTCATATTCTTCGCAAGTTCCACGCTCATATTTGCCAGCACGTCCAGTTCTGGAACATGGCACCAGTGCTCTGGCCTTGCCGCCATAAACAGCTGATTGTACGCGTGGAATCCACAGGGTAAAACTCCAGGCAGAAGGACGAACCAGAGTAGCAGCTGTTGGTAGGAGCCGAATTCACCCACATCGGGTAGGATCGCATCTAAATCCATACTGGCACTGGAACAACGGAATACACGTTCTAAAGCAAACATTTTTTTTTGTACTATCTGTTCCAGTAAAACATGCTACGCTTTTGACTTCCTCTTTGAAATGTGTGAAATGTAAGTGCTTAGACCAGGGGTGGCCAACCCGCGACCCGCGGGCCGCATGTGGCCCGCCTTGAACATTTTTCCGGCCCGCGAGATTCATCACACTTTTACAAAATATATTTATTAGTATCATTATTATTATATTATCTATGTTTACATGTAAGAATAATAGTAAACACAATAATAATAACTCATTATGTTTCAATTTTTCACTCCAAAAAATGTCTATAGCGTATCTAAATCTAATATGGGGATATATAATTTTATATGTGGCCCGCGGAGTTATGATGCATTTCCAAAGTGGCCCGAAAGATCATTTGGGTTGGCCACCCCTGGCTTAGACCCTCGCAGTGGTAAATAAATAAGGGCAGAAAGAAGTTAAAACATACGAAAGAGTCTTATTCATTTAAAAATCACGTCTATCTTTCACAATATGGACAACATAAAATAATTTTCTGTGAAATTCTGTGACACCTGTTCAAAGGCTTTTCATTTATTTAATTATAAAAATATACAATTAAAAACTTCATTACAGTTAATTAACTTCCCAAATTATGTACCATTACACACTCACGTTTTTTAGTTAATATGGTTCATTAGATTACCGAAGCTTTGATTTTTTCTAACCCCCCACAGGCCTATTAATAATTTTTGATGGAACTGTGGGAGTATACTATCTATGTAGCCTATCATGTCTTTAAAATTCATTGGACGACGTACGATGAAAGTCGAGGAGCTTAATTCCCAAAAATTATAACATATATATATATTAAAATTATATTTGAGGTACTTGTGGGTTATCGGGACACAAAATGGGAGAGTCGAATATCTGGATTCATATTCATGTGGCGGCGTACAAATAATAACGGCGATATTTTTAAAACGATTCTAAAATCTATAAGCGAATTTTGGCCTCCGGAGACAGGTTTTAACAACGATTAACATCTCATGCATATCCAGATAAAATATAATAATTTGTCATTTATTGAAATAAAATATAATAACTTTCAAGTATATGTCATTTATCCACACACATTAACCTAACCCATTTTTAAAGCGATGTGTCCCGATAACTAACAAATACCATATTTAAATTTACTTCGTTACTTGCTTATTGCTATTTATCACTGTGATATAGTTGCATATTTAGGTTATTTTTAGATTTATATACGGAGTATTGGAATGGCTAACTATAGGCCTATCATATTTTTATCTTCCCATATATGCCTTCTTTTCTCAAATTGTCTCTTCTCCAGATTATCCGGCTAAAGTTTTTGTATGCCCCAAAAGATATTATGGCTCTTTCTTTCAAATCCTTGCTGCCTTCAACATGGTCTATCATGTATCTGCCAAGTTTGAACTCAATTTTCTTCGGGACAAGTGGTAATTTTGAGAAAGTTTGCTGAAATACTGTAGTACTCAAGCAATTCTTTTATCATTTGTTTTAGTTTAATTTTGTGAAGTGTCTAATAGCGGATATTCATCATCGAATAGTATATTCGACCATCTGAAAGCCCAGAAAAGGTTAGAAGAGCCTTCCATGATAACTGTGACGTTAAGGTGGAGTTGACAGGCACACATTTTCAAACTTTGTCAAGAAAGTTGCAAAACAGGATCAGTTTTGAAGCTGCAGGGCTTCAACATAAAGGTCTGAAATCAATATTTCAAAAAGATCGAGGGCAAACACATTCAACACATCGTAATATAAATGACTTGAGATAGTGATCTGAATGAGATTTTTACGTCTCGTTGTTTAAGTGAAATAATTACATTTAGAAGCCACATTTTGAAACATTCTGTATATTTATGCACGTAAGTCTTATAAGAATAAACGTCAATAATAATGAATATAATTAACTAGTGTAAAAAAAGGCTATTGTAATTCAACGGGACATGATTTTTTTTAATACCCCACACTCCGCTTTATTTTATTCTTTTGTTACCTTCTTTCCACCATATTGTTTTTTCCTTCCACATCTTTTAGTCGCCTTAAACCTCTCCACTTTTCCTTTTTATCATATCCTTCGTAAAAATTAATAATTACTTTATAATATTAATTTAAAATAGTTTACAGTTAAACTATATCGCTCATAACACGTCATTACAAGAAAAAGACAATGGAACATATCATCCATGTTTTTATGCGTTTTACACATTTAAATATCTCATCTGTGAGTTCAAGCAACGACAAACAATCTGCATTATATATAATGGGCAAAAGTCATTACAATGAACAAAGGACTCACCTGTAGTTTAAGGAGACAGAGAATTTCTCATTACGAAATTCGCATTAGTCTCATAACTACACGAAAATAAATATATATTATTTAGTGTTTGAGCCGTTTAAGTAAGAGCTGTTGACAGATTCACGAGTTATAATTCACATCTAATCTTAATTACAGGCATACTTTGCATAAGAGAGAAAATTACATAATCCAGAGCCACATACAAACTAAAGAGGAATGAATGTTTGTACTGAGTGACTTTAAAATTCAGTCGGATTGAATACTCAAAACTAAATGTTAATATTCTTTAAAAATATAATTGTCGTCTGGATTCATAAGTCTAATGTAGGATTCTTGTCAGCACACTGGAACATGAATTATCACAAGAGGTAAATCGCTTGATTAGAAAAGCAACTATTAGCTTCTCAATAAGGATTTGTCTAAGAATGTTCGTAAGTACGCCCTTAATTTCTGAAACTTACCTAAGCTTCACGTAAAAAATTCTATTGTAAAAAATTACTTATTATTGCTATATTTTCAAGCGAACGATATAGCTTCACAATGCAATTTCCTTATACAATTTATAATTCATAAATCTCGCTGTTCAATGAATTTTCTATCATACAACCCGATGGTTCATCGCCATGATGACAAAAACCAACCTCTTAATCTTAACCTGAACTTGATCTTCACACTCATTTCTCTGACATCCATTTGGAAAAATACCATCTTCTTCCTGATCTATCTTGAACTTTTCCAAAGGACATTTGTACCCATTTATTATTTCCCCATGCGTACTACATTTCATGCCCACTATAAGGTCTGTTCAACAGGAACCAAGCCGAATATCGTGGCCAAGTGGATAGCCCTCAAAATCAATAGGTCCCTTCTTTCATACTCGGCCTTGAGACAAGCTACCCTTGCCTAGGTTCTTCTTGGTTTTCCTAAGTCACTTCAGGAGATTCCGTGATAGTACCTTAAACAGACAGCGACCGCTTCCTTCCATGTCCTTTCAAATTCTCTGTTCATTAACGACTCGACATTGTATATAGTAGCTGAGCATCGTTAAATAAACTACAAATAATTTATATTCGAAAAAAACCAGGTTTTATTATAGGATATTCTGAAGTTCCTCGTGTTTTTCCTCAGTCCCTCCAAAAAATGCTGGTGCGTGTTTTTCCTCAGTCCCTCCAAAAAAATGCTGGTGTGTGTATGTGTCAAATTACAACATTCACAGGTATGCTAAACAATCTCTGCGATTGAACGAGTGTCGTTAAATAAAGTAGTCTACTTAGAGATTAAAGATAACGAGATGACCACGCATCTGTCATACACGTTTCTTTGATCCACGGGTATTCAGTAGTGACGCCGCTTGAAGTCTAACACTGGCACAGACCACAACAAACGTACGAATGGGGCAACGAATCGAGCACTCCGGTGCAGAGAGATCCTTCAGATGACGCATGGACTCGGCCTTTGCGTGCAGACGGACGAATGAAATGTTGAAGCCTGAATAACGCAAACACTTTCTTTTCCTACAAACTTTATTTACACACCAAGGGTTCCATAAACATTAATTGACTCAAACAGTTAAAAAAAATTATGAAAGTGTATGGAGTACACATATTTTATGGATTCTTTCGTCGTGATTTTTAATATTTCGTTTGCCCTGATTTTCATTTCGGCCTGCACCTTAGCTACCCTGAACATGGAGGCGATTTTCTCCTCGAAATTTTGGTAACCACGTACGAGACTACAAAGGCTATAAACCGTCGTGAAAAAAGCAACCAACTCCACGGTTCTGTTCTGTTTCAGTAGCCAATACTAAAATGACAAGAAATTCTCTACAATTGCAAAGTCCGAAGTTGCTTTGCAGTGTTTATAAAAAAAATATTCTATTCTGAGTCACTTGAATCCTGTCCACATTCCATTGTTTTGAGATCCGTTTTAATATTACTCTCCCATCTACGTCTGGTTCTCACAAGTAGTCTTTTTCCCATTAAATATCTGAAAATGTTATATGCGTGCTACAAGTCTTTCCTATCTCATTGTCCTTTGTTTTACAATTAAAACAGTGTTTGGTGACGAGCAACAATTATGAAGCTCCTAATTATGTAATTTTCTTTATTTCGTGTTAATTCCTCTATCTTAGGGCCAAATATTCTTATCACCACTTTTAAACCATTTTGTATAAGCAATTCAGATTACTGTATATCGGAACTTCGGATATAAATCACCATTCTATGAACATTTTGGAACTATATTTTGTTTTGACATCAGACAATAAATTCAAATCCTCCGCAAAATAAATTATCTGCCATTTTTAACATCTAATTAACCCACTGTCACACTCTGACGACTGTCGAATGTTTCTTCGTCAAGTCTTTAATAAACCAGATCATTAAATTCGAAACACCAAGCCTATTATACAACAGTTATAGTACATTCCTACCACGTAATATAATTTAGGGCTTTTATATTAAAACACTTGCCTAAATACAAGTATTTTGAGTAAACATAAGACGTGAAGAACGTCGATTAATTTAAATTTTTTCCCGCATTTGACTTAGTACAATTCATGTCGAGCGAAACACGTAAACACTTGCCTCGCGCAGCGCACCACTGAGAACCAACGACTGCCCCGCGTCGCTTACAGAGAAGCACTGAGCGATGGCCATAAGAA